CCTATTTTTATTAATGTAAGTGCGCATCGCAATATACTTCATAGATATCTAACTGGGATGAGAAACCTCAATGCCATCACAGTTGAAATCTTTGACAACGCCTGTGATAATTTTGTATCAAAGCCATGTTTTGCTATGTGTTTGTTGAAAATTGGAGATATGGCGAGTTAAACTCATAAACATCGAGCTGTGTTGTGAAAGCGAAAGATGATATTGGATTAAATAAATACCAAATTTTGGAGAAAATAAGAGATTAAGCCGCAATATGAAGTCATTGATCACAAAACAATGTAATTTTGCAGATGGGGATTTTATTATAATATGGAGAAAGAATACAAACATTATGTGTTTACAATATTTCTAATTGCTTACTAGATCATAATAAAGGCAATTATATATAGGGAACAAATAGAGGACTTCCAAATTCTCATAGTAGAATTGTATTTGAAGTAGAATGCAATAAATGGAGTAGATGAGGGAAAAAAATCATGCAAGAGGTGAAACAAACGGGTGGTATGGTGGCGCCGTTTGACACATGCCTCTTTTAGGTCCTTTACTCCAAAATCTCGATCTTTTTCATCCCAATATCCTATTCAATTCCAATACAAACTTCTACTCCCAATAGACTTCCAAATAGAACTTCAATTAGAAATTCGTCCAAGTAAACTTGAATAGGATTTCACAATAGCGTTCCAAATAAAATTCTTCTTAGTACTTACTTTAATTAGAACTCTCAATTATCTTCAACAAAGAAATCAAGTTGCACTCAAATTCTAACAATTTCTGCCTTGATATGAATTTCACTACAAGGAAAAAACTTAAACTTTTAAATAAAAACACAAACGAACTTTCCATCAACAATTCTATCTAGAAATGTTCTCCACCTCTGCTACCTTAACTAGGGACAATGCGATCTAAGACCACCAAACAAGGTTGAAACAAGCCCTGTAACATAATCACAATTGAACGCATCAAAAGATGGATCTTGGCTAGAATGAACACCCTTAATTGCATTCAAACTATCAACAAAATCAATAGAATTGTACCTACGAGGAATTGTATACCAAAAATGGGTCTATTTCTAGAAATTAAATACAGTGCCACCTTCAATAATGATGACAAAACAGATTTACCCATATCTTCAAAAGTCAATTGAAATATATTCTTAAAAGAAGACAACAAATTAAACTTCAATGGTACAGAAGCCAATTCTAAATCCACCAGAGTCCTTAAAATAAGCTGATTAGTTGAAGATTCTGAATCACATTACAAGATATATAAATGAAATTTTTTATGTCCTATCAACACAATAAAGCTCCTTCAATAACTTCAACACAACACAAGCTCCTTCAATAACTTTCTGGACTCCACCTTAAAAAATGTACCTCTACCTTTTTATATCAAGAGTACTTAAGGAGATAAGATTTCTTTTTGAATCTAGAATGTGTCTCATTGCATTAAGTGTTCTAACCATTTCATCAAACATCTTTATTCTGACCCAACCAATACCAACTATTCGACAAGGTGTGTTATTACTTGTCATCACAACATCTTTCGAAATTTCTTCATATGTTGCAAACAATTCTTAATTGGGTAACATGCGAAAAGTGCAAGCTGTATCAAAAATCCATGTCTCATTAGCTTTTGATTTGTAGTCAGACATAAGTAGAAGCTATTCATCACAGCTAGGAATTTCTGCAATACTTGTTTTTCCTAAAGTTTTCGATTGCTGATTTGTAGTTGATTTTGATTTATTCTACAACTTATAACAATCGTTTACCAAGTGCCTTTTTTCTTGCAATAATTAAAAAATTTGGAGTTAGATTTTGACTTGCCCATCGAACAACCACCATGAACACGAGACCGTCTCCATGATCCCCAAATATCACAAGATGTTTTATCTTCTTCTTTGAATATAGAGCATCGTAGACTTCTTCAATGATGAGAGTATCATAATTATATATTATCATATCTCTAGGAGACACATATGAGGCAGGCAATGAATACAACAAAATCAATCACAAGATATTTGACCTCCAAGGTTTTCAAATCAGCAGCGATTTCTTTAAAAGTAGCTAGATGATCCTCAAGAGATGCACATTCTATCATACGATGAGAATATAGACGTTGTTTCAGATGTAATTTGCTAATAAGACTTTTCGTCATGCATAATTTCTCTAATTTAACCATAATGTAGCTGCTGACTTCTCCTTCAAAACTTCTCGAAGATATATTATTTGGAAGATGAAGATGTACTTGAGATAGAGTTTTTCGATCCTTTCGTTGTTTTTCCTCCATAGTCCAAGTAGTGGGCATATTGTCAAATCCCAATAACGTGTCGTCCAAATCCATATGAGTGAGCGATGCTCGCATTTTCACCTGCCATAAAGAGAATCTTATACTGCGATCTAATATTGAAATATCATACTTCATTGTTGTCATCATGAAAGACTAAGTTGAGATATTAACTTGATCAAAACCTCGATCTTCCCAAGAATTTCAAAAATACTTTAATACCTGTTTGTTATGAAAAGCACAAGATAGTATCAGATTAAACCAATGCCAAATAATTGGAGAAAAAAAGAGATTAACCCATAATATGAAGTAATTGATTACAAGAACATAAAAACAATGTAATTTTGCAGAGAAAGAAGATTTATTATGAAGAAAGAATACAAAGATTATGTGTTTACAATATTTTTAACTTCTTATTATATCATAATGAAGAGCCAACTATATATAAAAAACAACAAGGGACGTCCAAATCCTCATAGCAGAGTTGGAGTTGAAGCAGAATACAAGAAACGAAGTAGAGGAGAAAAAATCGTGCAAGAGGCGAAACAGACAGGTGCCACTTGTCTGACACCACGGCGCTTGGCATGGTGTCACAATGTCGGGCAAAAATTGCCTTGGCGCAGCATTGCTCACTTTCGAGTCCTTTACTCTAAAATCTTGATTTTCTTCATCCCAATGTCCTCTTCAGGTCCAATACAAATTCCTACTCCCAGGCTTCCAAATAAAACTTTATTTAGAATACGCCTAGTAAACTTGAATAGAATTTCACAATAGCAACTCAAATAGAATTCTTCTTAACGTGCACTTTAATTATAACTCTCAATAATCCTCAACAAAGAATTCGGATCGCACCAAATTCTAACAAATTGCTATGTTAGAAAACTTTGGTGGTGCATCTATGGCAAAAGATAATGTGAGATTGGCAACACAATTATTTGAACATCTAGGTGGTGGCCAAATTGAAGTTTGGTGGCCATTGTCACCAAAACAAACAATAAACTTATTGTTCTAATAGGGGATGTGATAACCCTTCATTGCAGGAAACATAGAGGGGCACCAAAAGTGAAGCTTTCGTTGTTGAGGTGGGCAGGAAATATGTAATCCTGCTTCAAAGGGTTCATCGATTGTGTCAAAAATAAAAGTATGGGAACCAAAATCATTTGACGGTGTTCGGAATGCAAAAGAGTTAGAAAAATTCTAAGGACGTGGCATAGTATTTTAAAAAATTGCACTTGTCAAAGGAAGACTTGTTGACATCACTAGACATAACTAACTTGTGATTCAAAGCTGTGGTGGAGGGCATGACTACAAGATGAAGAAGTTGTTGGGCGAACCAAATTATGACTTGAGAAAGGCTATACAAAGAGTTGTAGGATTAGATATTTCCATGCAATACTGTACAAATTGCAAGAAAGGCATTGAGAAATTTGAGATAAACAGATATAGGCCCCGTCTGGGAGTCACCCAAAAAAATTGATTTTTTGATCGTTATTTTACTATTTCAACCATAAGTTTTGACTTTTTCTTTCACAAATAGCCCCTATTTTTCTCTTATCAATCAAACAATTAATTTTCAAAATCACTCCCGAACAGGTCCATAGTGTAGGCTCATGTTAAGCACTTTTGTTCTTTGATTCCTTCTACTACGCATTGAGTGTTCCTTTTTGCAGAGTTAGGAATCAAATGTACAGTAGAAGAAATCAAATGCAGTTGTCAACAAAAATGAATAATTTGTATCTATTGAGATAATCCATGTAACAAATTAACAATAGCAGAAAGTTCAAGTCCAAAATGTTCTGTTTTAAATATTGTGTTGTAGAGCAAGTTGCTACTATGGTTATACGTTGGAGACCAACATCCACAAATTTTCTTTCTTTTCATTTTTGCTTGAGCTTAATAATTTATTTTTTCATATTTAGATTTATATCGCATTTTTTACCCAAAAAAAATGTTTATTTAAAAGTTAAATAGAGATTTCCATCGATTAAATGCCTAAATCAACTTATATAACAATATTAAAATGTGTGAACTAAAATGGCACATTTCAAAAGTTAATTACTTTCAAAAATTAATTTTAATACAAATTTTACCCTCGTTGGCCTCCATTTTTTTTCCAAATTTTAATATTTGAAATAGTATTTTTTTGAAGAATGTGTTGTTGAGAAAGAGTGAATTTTTTTCTATTTACGTATAACATAATTTTATGGAAGATTGTATGGTAAAAAATATAAGAAGAAAAAAATGAAAGAGAATGGAAGTTAATTGTGATCCACTACTTTGATTTATTTTTCAACCACAGTTCATAACTTTTATCAAAATCAGCTTAAACTTTATCGAAAGTTTTGTCAAACAACATTTAAACCAACTTACTACAAAACATGTTCGAACTAAAGTTTTATAATTTGAACACTATCTTACGACCAAAAATCATAAGTTGGGGGTCTGAACTTCTAATTTTTCCTTGTATCAATGGATAAGTAAATGTGTCTCACGAGTCACGGGGCTGTAGTTGGGAACTCTTGAAAGCCAAGGGACAAGACTTGCAATTGGAAGCAACAAAATTGATGCGAAAATCATAAATCAAAGCGAATCATTGACCCCCAAAAAAATAAAAAAAAGTCATTCTGTTGAAATTAAAAAGAATAATTTACGGGGTCCAAAGTGGGGTCCACTTTGAAATTGGTGACAGATATACGGCAGTTTCACAACTTTTGTGTGTGCTTTCTCTCTCTAATCTTCCCTGCTTTCTCTCTCAAGTCATCTCATAAATGCGATGTTAAACTAATTATTTGCAGGAGTGATTGTTGTAGTAATGTATTTATTAAAGATTGCATTTTTGGTTCTTTCGGCTGCGTGAATTCTCTGGCAAAACAAAGCAGAAGTCTTCTCCTTTGCACCTTTCAAACTATTTTTATTGCTTTCGTAAACGCTCTTATGGAGACGGGGAAGAATCTAGGGTTTTACAGCAATTCAAAAGCCAGATGAGGTCGTCTTTTCCAATCTTTTTTTTATCTTATTAGTTGATAAAGTTGTTGTTTGCCATTGGATTTTACCTGGGCTTTTCTTGTTTTCGATTGATTTTCTTGTCCAGTTCAACCTCATGATCTTTCCTTTGTATGGATATCTTTTGATTTCTATAATAGAAGCTTTTTGGTGAACAATGTTTTTTTCCCTGAAATGGGTTTTCAGCTTTTGCTATTTATGGATAATTACAGATCTGCTAAGTCAGTAGTTATGAAGGTTTTTCCTTTTCACCCCTCAAGTTGTACTTAATTTTGGATATTTTGGAAATTCAGTTTTTTCCTCTCTTTTTGAAAGTTGTCTAGTTTTACTGTGGTTAAGTGTGTGAGATGGAAAAGATAGAAGAAGCAAATAGTGCAGCTGTTGAGAGTTGTCATAGAGTGCTTAATATTGTATCATATCCCCAAGATGAGCATCAGTTAAGGAGTTTAGTTGAACAAACAGGGGAGACAATACACAAGTTTAAGAAAGTTGTTTCTCTTCTTAATACTAGTTGTGGTCATGCTAGAGTGAGAGTATCGAAGAAAATTCTGTCCCCTTTCCCTCAAAACCTCTTTCTTGAAAACCCAATCTATCGAACAGATGATCATCCTAAACCCCTTCAACTCCTTCCAATCAATTCTGTTGAAAGTCACCCACTTCAAGAAGGGGGATCCAACGTCAAGAGTGATCTCACACTGAGAAACTATTCTTTGGAATTGAGCTCACGTGGCAAGGATATATCTAACGAATCCCAGCAAGCACCATTTCGAAATTATCATTTTCTCGAACAGCAGCTGCAGCATCAACAGCAAAGATACCAGCATCGGTTGAAACAGCAGGCTGAACTGATGTATTGTCGTAGTAATAGTGGCATTAGTCTGAATTTCGATAGCTCTATGTGCACTCCTACTATGTCGTCCACTAGGTCTCTTATCTCTTCGTTGAGCATTGATGGGAGTGTTGCTAATTTGGAGAGAAATGCCTTCCATTTAGTTGGGGCAGCTAGATCTGCCGATCAGAACTCATACCAGCTTAAGAGAAGGTGTTCTGGAAGGGGAGAGGATGGAAGTGGGAAATGTGGAAGTAGTGGTCGATGCCACTGCTCAAAGAAGAGGTGGTTATTTTTATTCTAACTATCACCATTCATAATATTTATACCGTGCAACTGCTTTTCTTTACCTTTTCTCCCTAATCTTACAGGAAGCATCGTGTTAGAAGATCAATCAAAGTACCTGCCATAAGCAACAAGTTAGCTGATATACCCCCTGATGAGTATTCATGGAGGAAGTACGGGCAGAAGCCAATCAAAGGTTCTCCTCATCCAAGGTATTGTTCAGCACCTACACTGGTGATGCAGCTTCGTTGTAATTTGCAAGAAATTGCTCACTGGATATTCATTTCTGGTTATTAGCTTAGATAGAATCAATCTTGCATTTTGACTAGCAGCCTCTATCATTGTTTTGATATGATATTTGCTTTCATTTTATTCCACGAGACTAGGTATTTTCTTGTGCTATGTGAAGAAATTCCTTAAATTTGAGTAGACTCAATACTGAGCTGCAGTATTTTCTGTCTTATGGACTAGTGTCGCTCTCATCGGTATTCTTTCGTTGAAGAGGGTTGGTCGGGTTTATACGACGAAAATTAGGCTTGTTTCCATGAAGAATTGTATCAAATATCACATTAAATAATAACTAGGACTCATTGCTTCTAACCTAAAGTTGGAAGTAAATTGTATTAGATGGTCCAGGGCTTGTCTTTTGTCAGAATGTCCAATCGATGCAGTCCAAAAAAAGTTGAATGCTAGTGATTTCACCTCATCATTAATACTTGTTTGTCTTAATTTTGCACAATATAAAGAAATATCTATTTAAATGTTATTTCAATGCACGAGGAAATATGGGAGATACCCGTCAGATAGCATGGCTTAGTAGTTTCATGGTTTTGCTGAGTCTAGTTCTGTGTTTTTGCAGGGGATACTACAAATGTAGTAGCATGAGAGGCTGTCCTGCAAGGAAACATGTCGAGAAATGCTTGGATGATCCTTCAATGCTGATTGTTACTTATGAAGGCGAACATAATCACCCAAAGTTTCCCTCACAATCTGCCAACACTTGAAATTTTGGGGAAAGATTTGTAGAGACTGCATCAAGCCTTTGAAATTATTTCTTACATGTCCTTTCGAACTGGCTAGAACTGCTCCTCTACTTGTTTACTTTGTTTAAGTTTGTCGTACATATGGGGTTCGATTCTGGTTCTGAATGCTTTTTTTACTCCTAAATGTTGCTAAGTAAAAAAACAAAATCCAGAATGGTAGAGTTATTTGGATGTTGAGATTGACTCATTGTACAAAAAAAAAAAGCCCCCAGTCTTAATTGACCTTTTTTTTCTTCAAGAATTTAGAGATTCCTGCTGGTTCCCTTGTGTTTCAACTGTTTACATTTTGATCCGTTGGATTTACTGATGCGGTTTTGGTGATTTAAACTGATATTATATTGCTTAGGCAATTTGCAAAGACGATCAAATTTAGCAAAATAAGAAAAAAATGAGGCACAGGCAAAGGTTTGTGCATGAAATATTGTGATTGCTGTGTATTAATGAGAATCATGGAATCTGTTTGCTGTTTGTGGAAATTCCGAAATTCGACCAATATGTTGGGATAAAATTCGAAGTCTGATTTTCATGAGTAATATGGAATTTGTTCAGTATTTGTGGGTTCATATTCTGATTCCACTTTTCGGCATTTATGCTACTTTTACTTGAATGGAAATGGGACAATATCCTCCAAGGAGATGTTGATAGGTGAAACAATGCTGTCATGATTGTGTTCTTCAACTCTTTCTTGAAAATGGTTAGTTTCTCTCTCTTTTTTCTTGCATCCGACTTTGTTTTTTATAGCTGGCCCCAGTTCGAGATCGAGCGAGACTTGCGATAGTGGATTGACAGCAAGTGTGAATTTTTGGCAAATTTTATTGCAAGAATTCTAATGCCCACTTCGTCTGTTGTTGTTTATTGAAATAGAAAGAGGTAAGGGAGAAGAGAACAGGCACAATAATATCAATAGTTTCAATTCTATTTATTATTATTATTATTATTTTTTTTTTTTTGAGTAATATTCGAGATTGCATCGCTCTTAACCTCTGCTTAAACTCATTTTCAATCCTATTATCACAATAAAATATTTTGTATGTAAACTCAAAATTTTTTCCACTTTGTAAACATTATTTTCAAAAAAGTTACTATTTCAAAATTTATGTCTCCTGAAATACTTATTTTAATGATCTTCAAACAGGGTCCTACAAACAAATGAGCAAAGGACACTAATAAAAGAGCCAAACTTTTTCAAGAAACTATGGGGGTGAGGAGAATTTTCACAAGATAACGAGCTATTTAGATTTTGCCAATAATGTGAATAGTGTAATTTTTATTTTATTTTATTTTATTTTATTATTCCGAGTGACACTCCATATGGCAACACTCTTATGAGCAAATGATGCTAACTAATAAAACACTAAAGATGAAAGGGCCAATCTTTTCAAGACGTGATTAGGGAAAAGAGGGACAAGTAATTCATGACAAGATTCTCAAGAGTGGAAGTAATTATTTCAAAATTGATTTTCCTTTTTAGAGCATCTGGTTAAGAGGGTATTTGGTAGGGATTAAACTTAGATTTTTTTCGTAGATTGTGATAGAAATTTTTCAGAAATGTGTGGTTGAAAAATTTTGGAACTTATGAAATATATGGTTAATATTGATCGTTTGACTTTAATTTGGAGTAAAATCTGATTTTAATCCAAACCAAACATGCTATAAAAGTAAGAAAAAATTATGAAAAAATACGTGAAAAGTATTTTTTTAAAAGAATGTATAATTGAAACGAATATGGAGAAAAGTGACTTTCAATTAATTAATTCTACACAAGCACTAAAACTACATAACAAATGAATCTAATCCCTTATAATTTATTTTTGTCAATTCTTTCCCTATTAAATATTTGGATTCCTATTGGAATGCCTTTATATGGAAAAAAAATACATGAATTCCCTTTTGGAAGGCAAAAACTTTTCCTTCTTATTCTTTTGTACCCTATCAAAAGCACAAAGTTTCACATAATGCTAACCGGACAAATTCCATACTTAGAATATGCTTACAAACACAAATAGCGTCCAAAATAATGCTTTGAGAGCACCATTATTGCTTTGGATTCGAGAAATTTCAGACAGATAATTGACAATATTCTTTACTAGGAATAAATATTTAAGCTTAAAATAAAAATTAAATAAATATTTGAAAAAAGAAACTAAACTATTTTTTGGTTATAAAAATTCTTCTTATGAACTTTTCAATAGAAAAGAAAGAAAATATTGGTTGTAGTCCACTAGTCTTCTTAACACAATCTAGAGAACAACGCTTCAATTCAATTCGATACTCTTCTTTATTGGTCATTTTGAGCAAAATTGGCCAATATATAGAACCAAAACTAATTATTAGTGAGGTTCGTGCAGCAGATACTTCTTCAAGTTAGGTTTTGGCGCAATTCAAGTTCATTATAGATGTAGTAGTTAGGCAAAGCGGCAGCAGAACAATTCAAAATTGATTAACAATATTGCCAAAGCCCATGGGAGTGTATCCGTATTTGGTGAAGTGGGTGAACGTACTCGTGAAGGAAATGATCTTTACATGGAAATGAAAGAATCCGGAGTGAGAAGAACCTATTTGAAAACAGTCTAATGCCACATCTGACTCAACGGCTCCTTCTTCCTTGATTGTTGTTTATATGGATCAAGAGATGAAGAATTACTGTTAATTTGTTCATGCTCGTTTTCTTTCCAGACCTGAATACTTGCGAGTAATCTGGAGAAGACAATCAATGTTTTTATGACATTCAAGTAGAAGAATTATGAATTGGCAAAAGATACAAACGTTAATCCTATATTTTTGGAGGCATACATGTGAAAAGATAGGCCTCATACTACTAGCTTAGTTTGAATATTTATTTTTGACTACATATTGATGATGTCGACTTTATCGGATCGGATCAAATAACATGAAACGAGTTGAGAAAATGGTTTTTATTAAAATTTTCAAAATTACAACTTCAACTTACGCGGAAAATCTTAATTACACTTTATGTAAAAATAAATAAATTATATTTGTAATATATATATTTGTAACTTTATTAAATTGTTAAGTTACAAACATTGTAATAATCATATTACATCTCATGTTGTCTATGTGTAATTCATATTACAAATTGTGTAATAATCATATTGTATCTCTTCAATCTTTAATTGGTCGATAATAAAAATTTACATCATTTTTTGCTAAATTTGTTAAATTCATGTAGCTTAAGTGATCAAACAGCCATGAACATCTGAAAAGCAGCCAAAGTACGTTGGACTGCGTTCTTTACAATAACCCAAAACAATGAAAGTGTGTTGGATTTGTGGGCTGATAAATCGATGAACACAGCAAATATATTACCAAAGAAAAAAAGAAAAAGAAAAAAAAAAATCCATATAGCTTCAGAAAATTGAAAAGTTCACTAGACAACTTAATACTCAAATATGATAACCAAATTCAAGTTGTCAAAACTGCAACGGCAAAACTTAGCCCCTATTTGATCCCAATTTTTAAAATTTATTTTCAATCACATATTTTATGGGGACTCACAAATCTTATTAATTTTTATCAAAATGTACAAAAAATTTTAATTTTCATCCAATCCAAATAGAGGCATGTACAACACACACACACACACACACACACACACACACACACATATATATATATATATATTTATTTATTTATTTATTTATTTATTATTAGTTTTTTTTTTAACGTTTAACAAAATCTCGAGCAAGGAATGCACAACAAAAAAGTTTATCCTCAATGTTGCAACCATTTTAACATTTAGTAAGTTACAATAATGACTCGAATGAAATGGAAGTGATACGAATGAATAATGTCTAGTCTTGAAAGGGAATTCTTGAAGATCATAACATGGCAAATTTCATCGCCATTGGATGCTTTTATGGATTTTCTAAGTTATACAATCATGTTATATAGACATAATGGTTGACATAATCCTTAACATAATGTCATATGTTACGCCTCTTCACAGAGCACCCAGAGTGTGTGGAATAGACGACCATACGAGGCAAGTAACAGGTGGTGCATCCGAGGCATCGCTCTCCGAAGCGAGAGAGAACTGAGGCAGCACGTGGAGGAAATCATTGATCAAAGCAATTCAATCTGAGGCATTTTACTTCGATCGAGGCGTCACTCTCCAAAGCGAGTTGAACTGAGGCACGAACAAAGAACCGTTAGAAAACAAACTGACATACGAAAACAACAAAATGAAGAGATAGTACTCACTAACAGTAGAGAACTTCGTGGGGATTGTCTGAGGCGCCTTGGGTCTCTTCCATTGTGTCCCATCTCCCGAAAACCCAGTACCACGAGCTATTCCAATCCTTGATGGAGCTTAGTTGATCGAGTACAAATGGAGTGTGGGTCCCCATGACGTGAGGTAGTACCATCCCTCTCTGCAATTACTTTGGGAATGTAGAGGGTCTGAAAACTGAGAAGGGCATCTCTACCTTGTATGAAGCTTCCCTCCATAGTATCCACGACCCTACTATTTGGCTCTATGAATTCGAGTTTGACTGGGTTGGGGCTAAACTGTAAGACCTAAGGACGAAGCGAAAGTAGGGATGAATGGGTAATCTAAGTCCGGCCATAAGGATGGCTTCACTAATAGCCACGCACGCCAGCCTAGGATAGCAGGCTCTCTTATTAGGGTTTGGCATTATCATCCCTACACTATTTAGGATCCTATACTCTACCCACAACCTTATCAGGTCGGCACGGTCATCCTAGAAGGATAATCAAACCCCCCCCCCAATGAACATAAGTATCTACAGGGCTATCGGGTTGCTTCCAAATATTTCCCCCGCCTAATATGGCCTCTGACCATTCGACCGAACTAAGCACCATAGGCTCATCTAACTCACTATCCAACACTTCAATCCTCTTAGATACCCGTTTTTTTTTTTATAGAAAATAAAGACGATTCTTGTAATTACTTACAACGGATGAATGGAAGAAAAACTTCGAACGCCGAAAAATCCAAGGAAACACTTCAAAGTTAAAATAACGTCGCCAGAAAACTTGCAAATCACAGAAATGTTACTGAAGGTTTGGGATAAATATAAGTTACAAAAATAGCCAAAGTGAAATGTTTCAAATGAGGGGAAAAGGCCTTTTATACGGAGCTTTGGACGATCGTCATTGTTGAATTCAAACAAAATTGATCTGGGCCTTTAATCGCATTATAGATCTTGGCGTTGAAACCAAACGTCAAATTTGATTAATGCTTAAGATTTGAGTCCTAGGGATGGCAAAAAGGCTTGAGGGCTCGGGCCACCCTTGGCTCGGCCTGCAAAAAGCTTGAGTTGGCTAGCTAAAAAGAAAAATTGTTAAAAGGCAGCAGGCTGCCTTTAATAAAAAAAGAGGGAAAAAACGAGTAGGCTCGGCTCGGCCCGTTTTGGCCGAGCTTTTGCTCGACTCGGCTCGGGCCAAAAAAGCCCGTCTTTAAAAAGCTCGATCCGAGCCCGAGCCTTGATTTTCGGCTTGCGAGCCAACTCGGCTCGGCTCGGCTCGGCTCGGCTCGTTGCCATCTCTAGATCTGACGATGATGTTCACGAAACTCCAAAGCACATTGCCTTGAGCCTCAACTGTCATCTGCCATGATTAGCAGTAGCAGCCTTTTCTTGGGAGTAGACATCAATCCAACTATCCTTCTTGGGAACCCGCGACAACTTTTAAATCATTGCCCAGTCCATACAACCAAAGCGTAGTCTTCTGTGAGTCAACGCCTTTGCTACTTCAGCTTTCGCAAGCTTATATCCTCTAGAACGTCTTTCCTTATGGGGCCATTTCAGCTTTCTCGAGCTTATATCTTCCAGAGCGTCATACCCTATGGGTCAGCGCCTCTGCCATTTCAACTTTCTCAAGTATATATCTTTCAGATCGTCGTCCCCTATGGGTTATTACCTCTACTACTTCAGCTTTCTCAAGCTTATATCTTCCAAAGCATCGTCCCCTGTGGATTAGCGCCTCTGCCATTTTACCTTTCTCAAGCTTTTATCTTCTAGAGCGTCATCTCTTGTGGGTCAAATCCTCTGCCATCAACAGCTTCTCAAAGCTTCAACCTACTAGAGCGTCATCCCCTGTGGGTCCACGTCTCTGCAACCTTAGTTTTCCAAAAGCGACAACCCTCTCATGATTGATTAAAAGGTCCACGCATGATATATATATTCATCTCTCTCACTTGGGGGACCACTGTTTCGTCTCCTCACAGAGTACCTTGGTGCGTGTGGAACAGACGACCATACAAGGTGAGTAAGAGGCAGTGTATCTGAGGCATTTACGTCTGCAGAGGCGGTACATAGAGGAGAACATCAGTGAAAGCAATTCGATTTGATGCGTTTTACTTCGACTGAGGCATCGCTCTCCGAAGCGAGTTGAACCGAGGCACCACACAGAGGAGAAGAGGAGGAGTGCCTCTTCGCCGCCAGTTTTCACAAACGAATCTTTTGGTCAAATGTGTGTCTATATCTTTAGATATGATAGATGTGACATCTCTGTAAAGTGTTAAGTCCTAATCAGAAAAATTAATTGCATGTCCACCTAGGAAGTGACTGATGGATGCCTACGAACAGACGCCTTGCATTGTCAAATGAGTCCACGTGTCCCACATCTAACATTGTCTCTTCCAATCCTCTGCCTATAAATACCCAATGACTTAGCTAGAATAAGGTAAGGTTATTCCACCCAAAATATACACATTTTCTCCTTCCCCAAGTAGAGATATTGAGATTCCGACAGAATTCACTACCACCAAGATTGGTTTGATCTTCGGAGTGTTTGTGGCCGTTATCACCCTTATTGGGATCGGCCATATATAGTTGACTATTTGTGGTTGTGTGTAGAGAGGAATACGTGAAATAACTCTCGGTTCGTCACGTGGAAGGTCTAATTCACGGGGTCAACATCATATGTTAATCTATCATTGGATTGCTTAGAATACAGTCAGTTTTTTTTATCCAATCACATTTTACTGATGCTTATTATATCATTCTATCCGTCACCTATATTCTGGTAAAGTAACATTATTCTTCTAAGAAAATAGAGTCATCGGTAATTGAAATTTGAGATTCCCATGAATGGATGGAGGAATTCAAGAAATCTCTTAATTGTTTTACTACTATGATTTCTTATATTTGTTGGAAGCAATTTGATTCGAAATACGTCATTGTAAAGATAAAAATAGAGGGAGTGCAACTTGGTAAAGAGTGAATGATTATGCCCAATCATTTAAATATTTTTGAAAGTTCAGGGAATGTTCTACAATCACTTGAAAATTCACGAAGAACGTTATGTTTCGTCAAATTCAAGTTTTAGATATTGCCAAGTTTATGGTCCAAACAATTTATTATTCGACCTCACTGTGGAATTGATTAATCAAAGCAACACGTCACTTTAATTAATTGTCTAGGTGGTTAAACATACAGTCCAGTTAATTCCTATGTTGAACTGCCGGTTTGCGTAAAGTAAATAACATAATACAAAACACAACTCACGATATGATGACGGAGAAACCCCAACGTGGGTAAAAGTTCGGGATCAAGCCAGTAAGTTCCACTATACCAATTCAGTCAATACAAGTTCTATCAAACTCCGTACCCAGTCAGACCCGTTGTTCCAGTCTCACGATCTACTGCCGTAGACACTACTAGTCTCCTGTTAGTTTCTCGATCTACCACCTGCAGCCCAATCTGCTGTCCAATACAGCCTCCTAAAGTTGTCTAGTTTTACTGTTGTTAAGTGTGTGAGATGGAAAAGATAGAAGAAGCAAATAGTGCAGCTGTTGAGAGTTGTCATAGAGTGCTTAATATTGTATCATATCCCCAAGATGAGCATCAGTTAAGGAGTTTAGTTGAACAAACAGGGGAGACAATACACAAGTTTAAGAAAGTTGTTTCTCTTCTTAATACTAGTTGTGGTCATGCTAGAGTGAGAGTATCGAAGAAAATTCTGTCCCCTTTCCCTCAAAACCTCTTTCTTGAAAACCCAATCTATCGAACAGATGATCATCCTAAACCCCTTCAACTCCTTCCAATCAATTCTGTTGAAAGTCACCCACTTCAAGAAGGGGGATCCAACGTCAAGAGTGATCTCACACTGAGAAACTATTCTTTGGAATTGAGCTCACGTGGCAAGGATATATCTAACGAATCCCAGCAAGCACCATTTCGAAATGATCATTTTCTCGAACAGCAGCTGCAGCATCAACAGCAAAGATACCAGCATCGGTTGAAACAGCAGGCTGAACTGATGTATTGTCGTAGTAATAGTGGCATTAGTCTGAATTTCGATAGCTCTATGTGCACTCCTACTATGTCGTCCACTAGGTCTCTTATCTCTTCGTTGAGCATTGATGGGAGTGTTGCTAATTTGGAGAGAAATGCCTTCCATTTAGTTGGGGCAGCTAGATCTGCCGATCAGAACTCATACCAGCTTAAGAGAAGGTGTTCTGGAAGGGGAGAGGATGGAAGTGGGAAATGTGGAAGTAGTGGTCGATGCCACTGCTCAAAGAAGAGGTGGTTATTTTTATTCTAACTATCACCATTCATAATATTTATACCGTGCAACTGCTTTTCTTTACCTTTTCTCCCTAATCTTACAGGAAGCATCGTGTTAGAAGATCAATCAAAGTACCTGCCATAAGCAACAAGTTAGCTGATATACCCCCTGATGAGTATTCATGGAGGAAGTACGGGCAGAAGCCAATCAAAGGTTCTCCTCATCCAAGGTATTGTTCAGCACCTACACTGGTGATGCAGCTTCGTTGTAATTTGCAAGAAATTGCTCGCTGGATATTCATTTCTGGTTATTAGCTTAGATAGAATCAATCTTGCATTTTGACTAGTAGCCTCTATCATTGTTTTGATATGATATTTGCTTTCATTTTATTCCACGAGACTAGGTATTTTCTTGTGCTATGTGAAGAAATTCCTTAAATTTGAGTAGACTCAATACTGAGCTGCAGTATTTTCTGTCTTATGGACTAGTGTCGCTCTCATCGGTATTCTTTCGTTGAAGAGGGTTGGTCGGGTTTATACGACGAAAATTAGGCTTGTTTCCATGAAGAATTGTATCAAATATCACATTAAATAATAACTAGGACTCATTGCTTCTAACCTAAAGTTGGAAGTAAATTGTATTAGATGGTCCAGGGCTTGTCTTTTGTCAGAATGTCCAATCGATGCAGTCCAAAAAAAGTTGAATGCTAGTGATTTCACCTCATCATTAATACTTGTTTGTCTTAATTTTGCACAATATAAAGAAATATCTATTTAAATGTTATTTCAATGCACGAGGAAATATGGGAGATACCCGTCAGATAGCATGGCTTAGTAGTTTCATGGTTTTGCTGAGTCTAGTTCTGTGTTTTTGCAGGGGATACTACAAATGTAGTAGCATGAGAGGCTGTCCTGCAAGGAAACATGTCGAGAAATGCTTGGATGATCCTTCAATGCTGATTGTTACTTATGAAGGTGAACATAATCACCCAAAGTTTCCCTCACAATCTGCCAACACTTGAAATTTTGGGGAAATATTTTTAGAGACTGCATCAAGCCTTTGAAATTATTTCTTACATGTCCTTTCGAACTGGCTAGAACTGCTCCTCTACTTGTTTACTTTGTTTAAGTTTGTCGTACATATGGGGTTTGATTCTGGTTCAGAATGCTTTTTTTACTCCTAAATGTTGCTAAGTAAAAAAACAAAATCCAGAATGGTAGTGTTATTTGGATGTTGAGATTGACCCATTGTACAAAAAAAAAAAAGCCCCCAGTCTTAATTGACCTTTTTTTCTTCAAGAATTTAGAGATTCCTGCTGGTTCCCTTGTGTTTCAACTGTTTACATTTTGATCCGTTGGATTTACTGATGCGGTTTTGGTGATTTAAACTGATATTATATTGCTTAGGCAATTTGCAAAGACGATCAAATTTAGCAAAATAAGAAAAAAATGAGGCACAGGCAAAGGTTTGTGCATGAAATATTGTGATTGCTGTGTATTAATGAGAATCATGGAATCTGTTTGCTGTTTGTGGAAATTCCGAAATTCGACCAATATGTTGGGATAAAATTCGAAGTCTGATTTTCATGAGTAATATGGAATTTGTTCAGTATTTGTGGGTTCATATTCTGATTCCACTTTTCGGCATTTATGCTACTTTTACTTGAATGGAAATGGGACAATATCCTCCAAGGAGATGTTGATAGGTGAAACAATGCTGTCATGATTGTGTTCTTCAACTCTTTCTTGAAAATGGTTAGTTTCTCTCTCTTTTTTCTTGCATCCGACTTTGTTTTTTATAGCTGGGCCCAGTTCGAGATCGAGCGAGACTTGCGATAGTAGATTGACAGCAGTGTAAAAGTTTAACAAGAATTCTAATGCACACTTCGTCTGTTTGTTGTTTATTGAAATAGAATGAGATAAGGGAGAGGAGAATAGGCACAATAATATTAGCTTCAATTCTTTTTTCTTTTTTTTTTTTTCCGAGTAATATTCGAGATTGCATGGCTCTTAGCCTCTGCTTAAACTCATTTTCAATCCCATTATCACAATAAAATATTTTGTATGTAAACTCAAAATTTTTTCCACTTTGTAACCATTATTTTCAAAAAAGTTACTAGTTCAAAATTTATGTCTCCTGAAATACTTATTTTAATGATCTTCAAACAGGGTCCTACGAACAAATGAGCAAAGGACACTAATAAAAGAGCCAAACTTTTTCAAGACACTATGGGGGTGAGGAGAATTTTCACAAGATAACAAGCTATTTAGATTTTGCCAATAATATAAATAGTTTAATTTTTTTTAATTCCCCCCCCACCGAGTCACACTCCATATTGCAACACTCTTATTTGCAAATGATGCTAACTCATAAAACACTAAAGATGAAAGGGCCAATCTTTTCAAGACGTGATTAGGGAAAAGAGGGACAAGTAAGTCATGACAAGGTTCTCAAGAGTGGAAGTAATTATTTCAAAAGTGATTTTCCTTTTTAGAGCATCTGGTTAAGAGGGTATTTGGTAGGGATTAAATTTAAATTTTTTTCGTAGATTGTGATAGAAATTTTTCAGAAATGTGTGGTCGAAAAATTTTGGAACTTATGAAATATGTGGTTAATATTGATTGTTTGACTTTAACTTGGAGTAAAATCTGATTTTAATCCAAACCAAACGTGCTATAAAAGTAAGAAAAAATTATGAAAAAATATGTGAAAAATATTTTTTTAAAAGAATGTATAATTGAAACGAATATGGAGAAAAGTGACTTTCAATTAATTAATTCTACACAAGCACTAAAACTACATAACAAATGAATCTAATCCCTTATAATTTATTTTTGTCAATTCTTTCCCTATTAAATATTTGGATTCCTATTGGAATGCCTTTATATGGAAAAAATACATGAATTTTCTTTTGGAAGGCAAAAACTTTTCCTTCTTATTCTTTTGTACCCTATCAAAAGCACAAAGTTTCACATAATGCTAACCGGACAAATTCCATAACTAGAATATGCTCACAAACACAAATAGCGTCCAAAATAATGCTTTGAGAGCACCATTATTGCTTTGGATTCGAGAAATTTCAGACAGATAATTGACAATATTCTTTACTAGGAATAAATATTTAAGCTTAAAATAAAAATTAAATAAATATTTGAAAAAAGAAACTAAACTATTTTTTGGTTATAAAAATTCTTCTTATGAACTTTTCAATAGAAAAGAAAGAAAATATTGGTTGTAGTCCACTAGTCTTCTTAACACAATCTAGAGAACAACGCTTCAATTCGATACTCTTCTTTATTGGTCATTTTGAGCAAAATTGGCCAATATATAGAACCAAAACTAATTATTAGTGAGGTTCGTGCAGCAGATACTTCTTCAAGTTAGGTTTTGGTGCAATTCAAGTTCATTATAGATGTAGTAGTTAGGCAAAGCGGCAGCAGAACAATTCAAAATTGATTAACAATATTGTCAAAGCCCATGAGAGTGTATCCGTATTTGGCGGAGTGGGTGAACGTACTCGTGAAGGAAATGATCTTTACATGGAAATGAAAGAATCCGGAGTGAGAAGAACCTATTTGAAAACAGTCTAATGTCACATTTGACTCAACGGCTCCTTCTTTCTTGGTTGATGTTTATATGAATCAAGAGATGAAGAATTACTGTTAATTTGTTCATGCTCGTTTTCTTTCCAGACCTGAATACTTGCGAGTAATCTGGAGAAGACAATCAATGTTTTTATGACATTCAAGTAGAAGAATTATGAATTGGCAAAAGATACAAATGTTAATCCTATATTTTTGGAGGCAAACATGTGAAAAGATGGGCCTCACGATACTTAGCTTAGTTTGAATATTTATTTTTCACTAGATATTGATGATGTCGACTTTATTGGATCGGATCAAATAACATGAAACGAGTTGAGAAAATGGTTTTTATTAAAATTTTCAAAATTACAACTTCAACTTACGCGGAAAATCTTAATTACACTTTATGTAAAAATAAATAAATTATATTTGTAATATATATATTTGTAACTTTATTAAATTGTTAAGTTACAAACATTGTAATAATCATATTACATCTCATGTTGTCTATGTGTAATTCATATTACAAATTGCGTAATAATCATATTGTATCTCTTCAATCTTTAATTGGTCGATAATAAAAATTTACATCATTTTTTGTTAAATTTGTTAAATTCATGTAGCTTAAGTGATCAAACAGCCATGAACATCTGAAAAGCAGCCAAAGTACGTTGGACTGCGTTCTTTACAATAACCCAAAACAATGAAAGTGTGTTGGATTTGTGGGCTGATAAATCGATGAACACAGCAAATATATTACCAAAGAAAAAAAGAAAAAGAAAACAAAAATCCATATAGCTTCAGAAAATTGAAAAGTTCACTAGACAACTTAATACTCAAATATGATAACCAAATTCAAGTTGTCAAAAACTGCAACGGCAAAACTTAGCCCCTATTTGATCCCAATTTTTAAAATTTATTTTCAATCACATATTTTATGGGGACTCACAAATCTTATTAATTTTTATCAAAATGTACAAAAAATTTTAATTTTCATCCAATCCAAATAGAGGCATGTACAACACACACACACACACACACACACACACACACACACACATATATATATATATATATTTATTTATTTATTTATTTATTTATTATTAGTTTTTTTTTTAACGTTTAACAAAATCTCGAGCAAGGAATGCACAACAAAAAAGTTTATCCTCAATGTTGCAACCATTTTAACATTTAGTAAGTTACAATAATGACTCGAATGAAATGGAAGTGATACGAATGAATAATGTCTAGTCTTGAAAGGGAATTCTTGAAGATCATAACATGGCAAATTTCATCGCCATTGGATGCTTTTATGGATTTTCTAAGTTATACAATCATGTTATATAGACATAATGGTTGACATAATCCTTAACATAATGTCATATGTTACGCCTCTTCACAGAGCACCCAGAGTGTGTGGAATAGACGACCATACGAGGCAAGTAACAGGTGGTGCATCCGAGGCATCGCTCTCCGAAGCGAGAGAGAACTGAGGCAGCACGTGGAGGAAATCATTGATCAAAGCAATTCAATCTGAGGCATTTTACTTCGATCGAGGCGTCACTCGCCAAAGCGAGTTGAACTGAGGCACGAACAAAGAACCGTTAGAAAACAAACTGACATACGAAAACAACAAAATGAAGAGATAGTACTCACTAACAGTAGAGAACTTCGTGGGGATTGTCTGAGGCGCCTTGGGTCTCTTCCATTGTGTCCCATCTCCCGAAAACCCAGTACCACGAGCTATTCCAATCCTTGATGGAGCTTAGTTGATCGAGTACAAATGGAGTGTGGGTCCCCATGACGTGAGGTAGTACCATCCCTCTCTGCAATTACTTTGGGAATGTAGAGGGTCTGAAAACTGAGAAGGGCATCTCTACCTTGTATGAAGCTTCCCTCCATAGTATCCACGACCCTACTATTTGGCTCTATGAATTCGAGTTTGACTGGGTTGGGGCTAAACTGTAAGACCTAAGGACGAAGCGAAAGTAGGGATGAATGGGTAATCTAAGTCCGGCCATAAGGATGGCTTCACTAATAGCCACGCACGCCAGCCTAGGATAGCAGGCTCTCTTATTAGGGTTTGGCATTATCATCCCTACACTATTTAGGATCCTATACTCTACCCACAACCTTATCAGGTCGGCACGGTCATCCTAGAAGGATAATCAAACCCCCCCCCCAATGAACATAAGTATCTACAGGGCTATCGGGTTGCTTCCAAATATTTCCCCCGCCTAATATGGCCTCTGACCATTCGACCGAACTAAGCACCATAGGCTCATCTAACTCACTATCCAACACTTCAATCCTCTTAGATACCCGTTTTTTTTTTTATAGAAAATAAAGACGATTCTTGTAATTACTTACAACGGATGAATGGAAGAAAAACTTCGAACGCCGAAAAATCCAAGGAAACACTTCAAAGTTAAAATAACGTCGCCAGAAAACTTGCAAATCACAGAAATGTTACTGAAGGTTTGGGATAAATATAAGTTACAAAAATAGCCAAAGTGAAATGTTTCAAATGAGGGGAAAAGGCCTTTTATACGGAGCTTTGGACGATCGTCATTGTTGAATTCAAACAAAATTGATCTGGGCCTTTAATCGCATTATAGATCTTGGCGTTGAAACCAAACGTCAAATTTGATTAATGCTTAAGATTTGAGTCCTAGGGATGGCAAAAAGGCTTGAGGGCTCGGGCCACCCTTGGCTCGGCCTGCAAAAAGCTTGAGTTGGCTAGCTAAAAAGAAAAATTGTTAAAAGGCAGCAGGCTGCCTTTAATAAAAAAAGAGGGAAAAAACGAGTAGGCTCGGCTCGGCCCGTTTTGGCCGAGCTTTTGCTCGACTCGGCTCGGGCCAAAAAAGCCCGTCTTTAAAAAGCTCGAGCCGAGCCCGAGCCTTGATTTTCGGCTTGCGAGCCAACTCGGCTCGGCTCGGCTCGTTGCCATCTCTAGATCTGACGATGATGTTCACGAAACTCCAAAGCACATTGCCTTGAGCCTCAACTGTCATCTGCCATGATTAGCAGTAGCAGCCTTTTCTTGGGAGTAGACATCAATCCAACTATCCTTCTTGGGAACCCGCGACAACTTTTAAATCATTGCCCAGTCCATACAACCAAAGCGTCGTCTTCTGTGAGTCAACGCCTTTGCTACTTCAGCTTTCGCAAGCTTATATACTCTAGAGCGTCTTTCCTTATGGGGCCATTTCAGCTTTCTCGAGCTTATATCTTCCAGAGCGTCATACCCTGCTTATATCTTCCAGAGCGTCATACCCTATGGGTCAGCGCCTCTGCCATTTCAACTTTCTCAAGTATATATCTTTCAGATCGTCGTCCCCTATGGGTTATTGCCTCTACTACTTCAGCTTTCTCAAGCTTATATCTTCCAAAGCATCGTCCCCTGTGGATTAGCGCCTCTGCCATTTTACCTTTCTCAAGCTTTTATCTTCTAGAGCGTCATCTCTTGTGGGTCAAATCCTCTGCCATCAACAGCTTCTCAAAGCTTCAACCTACTAGAGCGTCATCCCCTGTGGGTCCACGTCTCTGCAACCTTAGTTTTCCAAAAGCGACAACCCTCTCATGATTGATTAAAAGGTCCACGCATGATATATATATTCATCTCTCTCACTTGGGGGACCACTGTTTCGTCTCCTCACAGAGTACCTTGGTGCGTGTGGAACAGACGACCATACAAGGTGAGTAAGAGGCAGTGTATCTGAGGCATTTACGTCTGCAGAGGCGGTACATAGAGGAGAACATCAGTGAAAGCAATTCGATTTGATGCGTTTTACTTCGACTGAGGCATCGCTCTCCGAAGCGAGTTGAACCGAGGCACCACACAGAGGAGAAGAGGAGGAGCGCCTCTCCGCCGCCAGTTTTCACAAACGAATCTTTTGGTCAAATGTGTGTCTATATCTTTAGATATGATAGATGTGACATCTCTGTAAAGTGTTAAGTCCTAATCAGAAAAATTAATTGCATGTCCACCTAGGAAGCGACTGATGGATGCCTACGAACAGACGCCTTGCATTGTCAAATGAGTCCACGTGTCCCACATCTAACATTGTCTCTTCCAATCCTCTGCCTATAAATACCCAATGACTTAGCTAGAATAAGGTAAGGTTATTCCACCCAAAATATACACATTTTCTCCTTCCCCAAGTAGAGATATTGAGATTCCGACAGAATTCACTACCACCAAGATTGGTTTGATCTTCGGAGTGTTTGTGGCCGTTATCACCCTTATTGGGATCGGCCATATATAGTTGACTATTTGTGGTTGTGTGTAGAGAGGAATACGTGAAATAACTCTCGGTTCGTCACGTGGAAGGTCTAATTCACGGGGTCAACATCATATGTTAATCTATCATTGGATTGCTTAGAATACAGTCAGTTTTTTTATCCAATCACATTTTACTGATGCTTATTATATCATTCTATCCGTCACCTATATTCTGGTAAAGTAACATTATTCTTCTAAGAAAATAGAGTCATCGGTAATTGAAATTTGAGATTCCCATGAATGGATGGAGGAATTCAAGAAATCTCTTAATTGTTTTACTACTATGATTTCTTATATTTGTTGGAAGCAATTTGATTCGAAATACGTCATTGTAAAGATAAAAATAGAGGGAGTGCAACTTGGTAAAGAGTGAATGATTATGCCCAATCATTTAAATATTTTTGAAAGTTCAGGGAATGTTCTACAATCACTTGAAAATTAACGAAGAACGTTATGTTACGTCAAATTCAAGTTTTAGATATTGCCAAGTTTATGGTCCAAACAATTTATTATTCGACCTCACTGTGGAATTGATTAATCAAAGCAACACGTCACTTTAATTAATTGTCTAGGTGGTTAAACATACAGTCCAGTTAATTCCTATGTTGAACTGCCGGTTTGCGTAAAGTAAATAACATAATACAAAACACAACTCACGATATGATGACGGAGAAACCCCAACGTGGGTAAAAGTTCGGGATCAAGCCAGTAAGTTCCACTATACCAATTCAGTCAATACAAGTTCTATCAAACTCCGTACCCAGTCAGACCCGTTGTTCCAGTCTCACGATCTACTGCCGTAGACACTACTAGTCTCCTGTTAGTTTCTCGATCTATCACCTGCAGCCCAATCTGCTGTCCAATACAGCCTCCTGGTCTTTAGCTGATTGTATCAACAAGTGGAATTCCAAGAACCTCCTGTTCTTGTCCCGTTCATGCGCTTGTCGTCCACCTCCCTCAATCCCCCTTTGAGAGAGTCCCTTCCTCCACAGATGAAGAAGTACCAGTGTTTTGTCTTCACAAACTTGATGTTTTTCCCCAAAATATTAGTTGTCGGATCCCAAGAATAAGATTGATGAATTCTCCAGTTGGTTGTGTTCTTGGATCTCTTCACAATGATATGAAAGGTTCTAATATGAAAGCACAATGAAGCAACCTTTATTTTCGTTCACGGCTTTTGTATTTATAGTTGGGGCAATTTGGAGTTCTAGGCCGTGTCAAACTTTTCAAAAATCAAAAATAAAATTTTCCATATAACACTGTCGCTCGAGCAAAAAGCGAGCGAAGAGCAAGCGACAGTACTTCGCTCGAGCGAAGTCCGGGCGAAGAGCGAGCGACGTCCATTCTGCTTCTTCTAGCTCAAGCGGTGGCAGGGCGAACAGCTAGCGAACCTCCGACGCCGTGTTCTTGATTTTGACCTAACACTCAAACCCTAGTCCCTACCACACAACTTTTCTAAGTTGCACCCTAAGTCCTTGCCTTTTATAACATTGTACAATTGAGTCCCTGACTTTTACAAATTTACAATTTAGTCCTTTTGTCTACAGAATCGCCAATTACACCTTTAGACCTAACAAACTCTCCCTTTGGCATTCTGTGTCAAAACTCTACAAATGAAGTCAGGACAATAGAAAATAAGTTAGGACTTGACAACCAAAAACTAAACTACCCAGTAAATCCAATCACTGAGTCTTGCATTCCTTCGTATACCTGTTTCCTGAAATCCACAAACTCTTATACCCAGTGTAAAAGCACGTGATACAGGAAATATAAAGATTACATAAAGCTCTTAATCACAAATCAACATAACAGTTTGAGACATGATATTGATGCCAATCAAAACACCAACCAAGACACCAACACCACTAAACATCAAAACTCAAACAGATGGATACGATATGGAATGCAATGCAACGCTCCCCCTTACTGCATACTTTCATGTTTTTATGCAGTAGGTAAATGTATCTATGTCTCTCCCCAACGACCCCTAATCATAACAATGCAATGCAAGTGATGACAATCAATGACGTCATGTGCATGCATATGCAGTTGCTCTCCTATGTGTATGCTCAATCATTATTATTATTATTATTATTATTATTATTTCTCCCTTCAGTTACACATTTTTCTCCCCCTTTTTGTCACAAATGCTGAAGGGACATGTCAATCACTGCTAATAAGAATGTTCTCCTACTAATGAGAGTCAAACCATGTAACGCGTAGTAAGACCTATGCTTATTTTTTTTATCAATTTTTCAAAGAATTTCAGCTCATCATATTTTTCTCATTTCTCCAGCTCATTAATTTTTCATCTTAAGTGCAGGTTCTTCTCCATTAGGCGACTATGATGACCCCTGTAGCGAGTTTTAAGCCGGTTAATCCAAGTCAGTCGACCATAAGCACCAGGTTTTAAGAGACCCCGCAGACTTAATTGTTCGAGTCAAATAGGCTCCGAAGAAGAACATTAAGATATGAACATTTAAAATTGGGAGAAATTTTTGGGTTAAGGTCTACAAAAATATGGTCAAGTCATGNGAGGTAAGTTCCCCCTTTCTTTAATGGCAACTGTTTCTATACTTTTAGGTGGGGAATTAAGTCCTGTGCCTTTTGCTAGTTCTTTTTTTCATTTCTTATTTTCCACTTGCTCTTTTGCCATCATATGTATATGTGAATCAGAGAATGCAACACCGCCAGCTGGCTATTGTCTCACAACACCATTTGAAAACTCTATTTTTGTAATCACGTTTCATTTATCAGTTAACATTATATTTGGTTCTCTGCATCAAACTGCTCTACCTTCCTAGTTTTAATACCTTTTAGGTTTAAATTTTAAAATTTTAACTGAATGCTCTTTCATAAAAAAATAAAGATAAAAAATGCAGTGGCAATGTTTAGAAAGGCTGAATTGTGTACCGAGGTGTTTTACCTTGAAAAGGCAAAGGAAAAGCCTCAAAGAAAATCAGCAAACAATTTTTATAAAATTGTAAAAAACACTAATATGCCCCTCATAAACCAAGAACCATAAGCCGTCTTGAAAATTTTTATTAGCACGATTTAACAAAATCATAAGTCTAACTTGTTATCAAACATAAGATACATAAAAATTCATCAAATAATAGATCATCAAATTAGTAATTGCATGACAAATTTGATAATCATTTCTAGAACCAGAAGTAGCCTAAAAGTCTTCCTTAAAATCATCACTATATTTGATTCCTCTGTAAACCTTCTCGTTATTATCTCTTTTCTTACTCTTCTACTTCCTCATCATCTACTTGCAATGGTAACAAATGCAGAGACAACAAGAAGAAAATTGTAAACGAAATAAAACTTTGAAGTTTCAAATTGTATATTTCTTGTCACTGGTGGCCTGCAGCTGAAAGCTGCAACTAAATCGGGACGAGGTTTATTGCACTTCAATTGTAGGAGACTTGACACGCTTGCTTCGCTTTTCTCTTTAATTATTTCTTGTAGTTATGACAGTTCGTATTGTATTTAAAATAGCTTAAAAAAATCCTTTTAATATTTTAGGCTATAAATGCAAGTTTTCCACGATTATATGGAATACACGCACTTCTTAGTCTTGTTGTACTTGAACAAGTTTCTCTTTTCTTTCTTACCTTTGGCAGGGAGAGAGTTCTTAAATGTTGGAGTTCCCATTTAAGCTGACGATCTCTTTTGATTATATTTTCTTATAACATGTTACCTCTTATGTTAGCAGAGCACTTGCCAGTATTTGCTCTACCGGACGATAGTATTGTTGAGATACAGGGGGAGCCTGAAGGTCTGCAGAAGGCAGTTGAATTAATTGCTACACATCTTAGGAAATTTTTAGTTGATCGAAGCGTTATTGGAATATTTGAAACACAGGCAAGTAATAAGCGTATAATTTTCTGATTCAGTATCCTTTTTGTGTATATTGATGCGTATTAGTTCTTCACATTGTCAGATGCAAATGCCAAATGCTCGAGGGAACCAGAACTCGCTTCCTGACCAATCTTGGGGACCTCCTCCTCCAGCTTTTCCCATGAATCCTGGTGGACATGGTTATGGGCCCAATCCTATGCACATGCCTCGTCCACATCAATATGATAATTACTATCCACCAGTTGACATGCCTACTTTAGACAAGCAACCTCGTATGGGTCCACCTACTTATGGCAGAGATGTATCAATGGGTGCTCATATAACAAATGTGCAGCCACAACAAGCAGTGGTTGCAAAGGTGGAATTTCTTTGCTCTGATCTGCATTTCAATTTCTTGTCTTTTTTGTATTGGTTTTTATCTAGTGTAGAGTATGTTTCTGTATTCAAATACAGCCTTGTATTATTTCGAACTTTTCAGGAGTTTGTAATGTTTAATTGTTGGAAATGTCTCTTTGGATCTCTACTTGTATTGTTGGAAACATATTTGTTTATATCCAAATCTGCTTGATTGGTTTTATACTATTTGGGTTTATCCCTCTGAGTGTCTTTTATATCTTTTGCTTTGTAGGTCACACAGAACATGCAAATTCCTCTATCATATGCTGATGCTGTGATTGGTGTGAATGGTGCGAATATTAGCTATATTCGTCGTGCAAGTGGTGCAACAATTGCAATACAGGAAACTAGAGGCATTCCTGGTGAGATGACTGTTGAAATTAATGGCTCTGCATCGCAAGTCCAAGCAGCTCAACAGTTGATACAGGTATTTCCTAGTGTTTTAGGAATCTAATTATTGTACTGCCTACTTTTCTCACTTTCATGATTTGGACGTTAGAAGGGGATCTGAATTCCTAGTCATTGTGTTCTTGTGCTGTTACACATATAGATAGATAAATGCAAGTTTTACCCTTTCGGGCTACATATTCTTAGGCCATTTTCATTATACTATGCTATTATAATGTCATCTTTGTTATCAGTAAGTGATATAGAAATTATGTGCAACAACCTTGTCATGGGTCGTTGGGCTGTAGTTGAGATGGGTAACTTGTAGATACAGATAGGCCATTATAGCCATTTTTGAATAATGTCCTTTTTATGATGCAGAATTCTCTTGCTGATGCTGCAAGTGGTGGTGCCCAGAATGCTGGTGGCGGACTGCCTGTCCAAGGTTATAATCCCTATCCATCTCATGGACCTGTGTA